GCCTCTGTCTCGGCTCCGCGCTGGTGGGCGGGCCTCGCGTCTCGTAGCTAGGTGTTTTGCTAGGCTAGCCGAGTCCTTAGCCGCGCTGTCCAGCCTCGTCATCAGCGTCTGCATCTCCGGACCGAAGAGCGACGTCTGGGAGATGGGCAGGTCCAGCAGCTGCCTCTTCTCCGCCTCTCTGAGGTTCACCGCCCCCAGCCAGAGGTGTCTGGCCCCGACCTGGGCTGCTGCCATAGAGCGGCCGCCATCGACAGCTAGCGCTTGGCACATGCGCAAGATCGCTGCTGAAGTGGTCCTCGCCTGGGCTAAGGTGTCTCCACTGAGTGCCTGGTCAGAGGAGAGAGACCTATCCAGGGCCCCGGTGATGAAAGCCATGTTGTTCGCCACCGCGACGACCTGAGCCGCATTGGCGTAACATCTGTCATGCATAGCCAGAGACATCCTATCCCGCTCGGAGGGAAGGAGAGGTCTGGTGCTGGGCCACACGGATGAGGAGGGGTGCAGGGCCGCCCGAACCGAGTCCTCGATGTCCGGGACCCCGCCTGTCCAGGACCAGTCCTGCACGTTGCAGTACATGCCATACCCCAAAGCGGGCCTCTTGGCCGCTAGGGGTTTTGGCCACTCACGTGTCGCGTAATGGACGATCGGGTCCATACGCGGGCACAACGTGGGCTGGGCTCTCCTCCTCCCTCGAGGGGCTGCGTACCCAGAGGTGAAGTCCTCCACCCTCTGGTTCGGTTGCGGTGGCAGGGGGGCATCCATGATGGCCGCCGCCGTGGCGTAGAGCCCAGGCATGTGGTCCAGCGGGAAGCGGTCCGGCTCCGGGTTGGACACCACCTCGTCCAGCGTGAGGAGAGAGCCGACCTCCGACACCTCTCCGTCCTCGCAGTCACCCCACTCCGCGGGCACAGGTGGAATGTCGAGGGGGGCCCAGTCAATCTCAGACTCCTCGTCCTTAGAGGAGTCCGGACGGGGCGCTGTAGCGGCGAAGAACGCGCGCCTGCGTTCACTCTCCTCCCTGGGGAGAGCGACACACGAGGCGCAGGTGGCGCTCAACGCCGCATGGCCCGCACCCAGGCACATGAAGCAGCTGGAGTGCTGGTCCTTGCGTTGGAGCTTGCCCCGACAGGTCGAGCAACGACGACGTCCGACGCCGGATGGCGAAGGGGAACTCGGACGTGCATCAGAAGACATCTTTCTTTCTCAGGTAACGAATGTAGATCTCAAACGGCGCCAGAGTGAAAGAGGGGGTGCGGCCTTGTGCAGGGGCATTTATAGAGGAAGGTGGCTGGTGATTGGAGCAAATTATTTTGATCTCTCTGGCGTCTGTGACCTGGGGGTCACGTGATATCCCACTAGCGAAGTCCTAAGGGACGTAGCACCATGACGTAGAACCTACGCAGACATAGGAATAACATCCAAACTCCACCTCAGGACCTTCTTGATGAGAAGCGAGAAGATGCCACCACTTCTAACCTGTATGAATGACCTTAGAAGCATGGCTAACCACTTCGACCTTGTATGAATGAGACACCGGACGCACTGTGGTTTTGTGCTGCTCTTTTGAATGTCGCGCCGCCATATGCAAAAGCTTTTCAAAGCAAATCATTCTCTCAGAACTCTCACATGTTCAAAACTCTCATTCTCAACATGTACTGAGTAGAAAGTACAGAAATGGTAAACGTGAAAAGGAAAAAGAGCAGAAAAAAAAAGTACTGGAGTAAAACTCTTTTTGCTGCCTCTGCAATCGTCCAATGGGAGTCGTATATAGTGCGGTTGAGTTATGTCCTGGCCTCGGCGCATGGACTGGCATCAGCGTGGTTTAATAAAGAGCACCGCCCCGGCTCAGCTCGTTCATGTACCGGCCGTTTGTTCTGTGTGTGTGGTCAAACAGGGAAAGTCCTAAAGTGAAATTGCGCAGGTCTGACGTAGCGGGTTGTAAATCTGTGGTGTGCGAGCTCCTTTCAGGCCCCATGGCAGATTTGCGGCCAACGGTTCGTGGGATGAGCAGCGAGATTAGCAGCGTTCGGAGATTGATCACGGCCTAATGTCGTAATAATGTGACATAAGGAAATGCTAATGGTGTTGTGTGAGGTCTAAATGCAGAACAAAGAAACATGACGTATTTTAAGTCGGTATAAGATCAAAAATAAAACATCTTGATGAAAGGTGACCACATTTTTACTGTAATGAACAATAGTGGGTTAAACATTTTAATGAAAACAAAAAGTAGGTCAGGTATATAGAAGGACTTTCCCATTTTTTACGAAAGAACCGCCCTCTCCACTTTTTGAACAAAACTCTCTGGTTTTATTGGACGAGCACGTAAAACCAGAATGATTGACAAATGGGAGGACCAGTCTTGACCAGTTATGTCCAAACTAAGGCCTATGGGCCAATTGCAGCCCTAAGTGTTATTCCTTGTGGCCCTCTGTCTTGTTAGAGTAGTCTTTGAGCATAAGCACAAGCACGCAAGTTCACAGTGTCATCAAGCTGGTGAGATGGTTTTGTCATTCAGCCAACTTCAGCTCCATCATAGGTAATTACCAAGGTCAGACAGCCCAAATGCTGGCAAAACAGTTTTACAGTGTAGGTGGTCGGCCCCTGGACAAGTCTGAACTAAAGTGGCCCTCTTACAGGAAGGTTTGGACACCCCTGGTCTTGATGATCCAAAGTAGGAAATCCTGCTGTGTACAGTGTACCTTTGAGTTAATATATTTTTGATCATTTTGAAGGACATGTAAACAAGGTGAACACGTCTAACTTTCCCCACTGAGGGACGAATGAAGGTTTTGTTCATCTCATCTGTCTTTCAAAAAAACACACACTCCACCCATAAAAACAAGGTCTAAAGCGGAAGACTTCAAGGTCAATACAAATTTGGTTTGATGTAAACCAAATTCTTGCATGTATTTGAACGTTCATGGCAGTGGGAGTCTACAAGGTTTTACTTCTTTCCCGCTCCATTTCCAGCTGACAGATTGTAAATAGAAAAGCCTTTGTAAATACATATGTGTGAATATACAACAGATGGTGAATCTGTAAGCACAGAAGGCATGTACAAAAGGACCTGTAAATATAGTAAATACTTATGAATGTAAAATGTCTGCTCGAAATAATAAAATCAATCATTCAAGGTATATACTGTATTTGGCCTCATCCATATCATTTGTACATCCCTGATTGATCCGTTTCTCATTTCTTTCCAATTGTTCATTATAGGGCTGATACTGATAGATATCGACATCGAGATATGAACATTCAAGATATTCATATATAAAATCAGCCAAAGAAACACAACTCCCAGAAACATTCCAGTACATTTCTGATTCAATGTTTTAGTAGTTAGTTTGAATCATGGACATATCCAGCATGAATAGTCAATAATGGAATACTGTCCATGTCGTTCAGCCCCAATTCATTTGACTGTACCTCTGCAGGAAAAACTGAGCCTAGGAAAGTAGGAAAAATACATATTAAAACCATTTGAATTTGATTTTGAAATGCGGGGCTCTTCATTGTCCTGCTAATACGGTCCCAGTGAAAAGAGGATGTAACCTCTTTTATTAAGTCCATTTTCATTCAAATTAATCCCAGCTGTCCATCCGTAACCATTCATTATAAGATGAGGAATTAAGTGGAGGTTAATTTTTCTGATTGTCTGTCTGTGTCGTTTTTTAATTGCACTGGAGGAAAAGTAGAAATCTGGTCTTAGCCATTTTGGATTTTGCGTTCGTATTCATTTGTATTGAAACCATTAAAACACTCATAAATCACATTAAAACCAACAACATTGATGGAACTGTATATTTTTTTCTTTTACTGTACACAATTTTGTATTATCTGATTTCTTTTTCAATCAATATCAAAACCAATAGAACATATATTAAAATACCAAAACGTGTCAAAGAAGAAAGAAAAAATTCACATTTATTTGATATCAAACAGGAGTTCAATTAAATATCAGCTGATGTTGGGCTCTTACAAAAGAATGAAATGAATGCAATCAGTGCTGCAACAATTCACACGGCTTACTATGATCTCCTTCCACCATTTTTTCTCTCAATACTTCGGTTAATAAATTAATGAGTGTCAAAGGATGAAATCATGTCCATAAAATGCAATATTGCATCGACACAAAAAAAATAAAAAGTCTTTAAAAAAAAACAACTGACAATTTCTTTCAAGTAAAATAAATTACATCCAATTCACTCAACTGTGTGCATGGCCCGGTGGTAAAAAATACTACTGTGAAAGTCATCATTCATGAACGCAAAAAGCACTTCACAAGCAGAGACGTGAGCATGAATCCATATGGAGGAGAATCTCTGGAAACTTTTATGTTCAAACATACTACGAGTCAAGTGTGAGAGGAAAAAGCACATTTCTGATGATCTCACTTTGAAAGGGCATAACTACAGAATCAATGCCATTTCATTGTTTTTTTCATTCTTTGACTTTTTACACTAGTGGTACAGCAAAATATATTTTCTTTAGCCGTTACTTTGACAACAGTTAAATGTGCAATAGAGAAAAATATAAGGCCTGAGTCTGAATTAGTGGTTTCTTTACAATCCTGACTGTGGAAAAGTTCTTGGACTAAAAAGAGCCGGGTTCACAAAGTCCCGCAGAGAGTCAGGAGTCACTCACTTTGATCCATTCTTCTTTCAGACATGTGGGGGAAGGGTGTTGCTGCACGTCTTCAGTCCAACAGTGCAGTCCTCACCACCCGCTCTGGCCTCACTTCTACGTGTTTCATGTGTTTAATGAGTTCTGTGTGCAAAAGTCATTTATTCATTCTTTTACCACCCAACATTTCACTTCCTGTAACAGGAGGAGCTGTGGAGCGCAGCCAGCATCCCCATGTGTGAGCCGTGTGCAAAGGGCTGCTCGGAGGCCGCTCTGAGGCCGCTCGGAGGCCACTCAGGGGCCGCTTAGGGGCCGCTCAGGGGCCGCTTAGGGGCCGCTCAGGGGCCGCTCAGGGGCCTCTCAGGGGCCGCTCAGAGGCTGGTGATGAGCTGCATCTGTCCGTCAGCCTCCTGCCCCTCCGCAGGGCAGTCCAGCGGGTGCTCCGGGGGACAGTCCTGGCTGCACTCCGGGGGCAGGATGCAGCCGTCGCTGGGGGCCCGGTGTATGTGGTAATAGGACAGGGGCGGGGGGCCGTCGCCCAGCTCAGGCATGCTCTTTCTCACGTCCTCAGTGTCACTGCGGGGGGAGTGGGACATGTCCTCCTCCTCCTCCGGGGGGTAGGGGGAGGCGGAGGGCGAGTCCTTCAGGTTGGGCATGCTGGTGTAAAGTGAGTCTCTGTTATTGGGCGAGTCTGTGTCGTCCAGAGTGTCGGGGCCCGGGGCCTCCAGGCGGCGCGGCGCCTTGTGAGCGCTGTACAGCAGAGAGTGAGTCCTCTGGGGGAGCAGGGGGGCCTCCAGCACCTCCTTATGGTGCGTGTGCAGCAGCAGCTCCAGAGGGGCGCCCCCCACACGAGCGGGACCCCTCTGGGGGGACGAGGCCTCCGTGTGGTCGGCCACGATGGCGTCGTCCTCGCTGCCGCTGCCCTGGTCCAGTGCGGTCCTGGTCTGGGGGCAGACGGGCCGCTCTCGCTCCCTGAGCACGTGGCGACCCTTGGGGGCCACACGGGGCCGCAGGTTGTTGTGGACAATCTCAGAGATGATCATCTTCTCGAAGGCGGCGTCATCCAGGTTCAGGCCCCCCAGGTCCGCGGGGGTGCGCACAGTCTCGTAGTCATTGTCGCGCAGAGAGTAGCTGTTGTTGAAGTTTCCGTTGAGGGGCAGCGTGTCCATGGTGCTGATGTCCCGACTGCGGCTCAGGGAGTGCTGTCCTACAACAGACAGACGCACAGGTGAGAGGGCGCACTGCAGCCAGCGCACACACACAACACCTACTGCTCAGGACACTTTGATCTCGGCTCATTTACATTTAACTCTTACATTAACCTTTCAAATTCAAAGGAGATGCCAATTATCTCCCACCCTGTCTGGGCTTGTTAAATATGAATATGATTATGGCCAATCGTAGACTTGATCCTGAACAATATTACACGAATGAGATGAAGAAATATACAATATTCAACAGCCAAACATACTACAACAGCTCGAGCAGCATCCAAATAGCAACAGACATTTCATGGGCCTCAGATAAATAAATAAATCCATACTTAAAAAGCTGATGGGAAATGTAGTGACATTAACAATGAATAAAACATTCCACCTTTGAAAAGAAGGCAAGACAGTAATGTTGTAACACAGATGGCCTTCCGGCTCTGCACAGAACAGCACAAGCCCCACATCAAGACACACGGCACGGTGCAATGACTCACTTTGCCAACACTCACATCAAGTGTGTCTGCTCAGGCTATCTGGCCTAAGAACAGCTGATGTGCAAAAAGGTAAAAAATATATAAAATAAGATGCCTTTTTCAATTGCAGCAAGAGAAAAAACAACTGAATCACTGAGAAGAGACAAAAGTGGAAGCTTGTCACATGTAGCCAGGATTCAGTCTGTCCAACAACGATTGTGTCCTTGCAATTAACTGTAATTTAGCATGTGCGACGGCTCGGCCCAAATTGCCCAGAGGTGGACGTGAAGTGACGGCCAAATTGTGGGTTTGAGAGCCAGAGGACGAATCAAGGACGACTGAATCCTGGACACAGCAGGTGAAAGGGTTCAGCGGCAAGCACATTTTAACTCTACAATCAAAGAACAGCATGTTTCTCTGCAGCCGTTGCCCATGTGTAATGACACATCCACCGGAGAGCACTTGTAGCGTGCGGAGCGCTGCTAATTTTACACAGGAGCGCGTGCTCAGAGCTGGAGTAGCGGCATAGAAAATGAAGGGGGCTAGTCTGATTTGATGTAAGGGCTTTATTGGCTGACATTTTGTGGAGCGTCAAGGCTGGCAGGCTTTACGAGAATAACTCCAGTCATAGGTTTTAAACGTCTGAAAACGGATGATAGCGACGGCAGGAAAAAGTGCTTCTAAAAACAACATCAAAGTCTAAAAAATAGGTCTAAAAAAACATAATAAAAAGCAGAGTTCACTAAGCGAAAGGGCAAAAAGGAGGAGCGCGGCGTTATTAGAGGCTCCTGTGGATATATACCCAGCTCAGAATTTGCATTTGTTTATTCGGAGCCAGCTTATTGAGAGCAGGTATTGTCCACAGGGAGACGAAAAAAAAAAAAAATTGTGAATGAGTAGAATCCGAGTGGACGCGGCCGCAGCTGCACTCCGGGAACGTTTCCAGCGGAGATCTGGAGATTCGGGCCAAGATGTTACCCTTACTGATTTTACTACAGCGCACCCATCTGCAGAGCATTACTCACTATTAATGCACTTCTAATGGAGGACACGCTCGGGCCTATCCAGGAGTCCGCTTTAACGACAAAAGCAGGTTGAAAATGTGGAAAAATGTCTCCTATGTTGATTTTGACATCCCCTCTGCGGTTTCTTCCGATGCGGAGGTCTTCACTGAGTTTTTTTTTTCTTTTTTAACCTGTTGTACGTTTGATAATCGACTCTCCACATTTTGTCTTCTGAGCGTGATTGATAAAGTCGTTTCGGGGCTAGGTTCACCTCCAGTGGGGTTGTGTGAGGATTCTTCTTCATAGATATTATATTTCAGCTAATAACGCCGCCGCCGTTTGTAGATCCAAAAGGGGAAGCCCCGGCAGAATGGCAGTCATATTTAAACAACATATTTACTTGACATTTTCTCACATAAAGCAGCTACTATTTAAGGTCTGCCGCTGCAGGGTATTGAGACAGAACATTCACAAAAGAGCTTAAGATGAAGTGAACGGATCTGTTTTGTAGTTTTAAATGAATTCAAGCTGTGACTTCTGCTCTACTCCAGATTCAAATCATCCCAGTCACCTTAAGCATGGTTTAAAGGAATCTATATGCTTACTTCCATGTGACATTGGTAATTACTCAGGCTGGCAGTCTTTAGCTAACAAGATTGATCTTAGTTAACTTTTAACACAACACTTTGATTCAAAATAAGGAATTTTGACTGAAACAGATGTGATCACACGGAATTATGTCCAGATGAGTGTCCAGCTGACCTGCATATTGATGCTGGAGCTTAGCAAAGCCGAATGCTTTACAGTAGAACATTCACAGGAGAGCAAAGCCATTTGGAAGTGTGTGATCTTCTGTGTTTTATTTTATTGATTTGATGCTTTTTCTGCTCTTATTTGATTTGGTTTTAATGTTTTAATCAATGGAGGTTGGTTTGCTGCCAACTAATTTGTTCATGAAATGTTCTTTATAAATAACTGTAGTGATTCAAGAATGGCGTTGCAAAAACTTTTATTTCTATTTTGAAGCTGGAATACCTAACCTAATCTTTGAAGCGACAACAATAATGTCATAAAAATCCACTACGCTCACAAAGCTTACATGTATGTCATTTTGGCCTCTGTCACACAAAAAGTGAAAAAGAGAGGACCACTCAAACTCAGCCAATCAGCTCTCACTATGGAAAGATGTGATGTTATAAGATAAGATAAACTTTAAACTTAGACAGCATGTTGTGGTCTAGTTTGTCCACATAATATTACTTTAACAAGATTCTCTCTAATGGCACAAACAATGTATTCATGAAACCAAAAAAGTTAGGTACTCCAGCTTTAATAGTTAAGACCTGAAACAAGTTAGCTCTCTTTAATCACAATAAATCTCCGGCGTCTGCCCGCTTAGCTTGGTCGAGGCCCCGTGTTTAAACAGTGCTTCATTCATATAGGGAATTGCTTGGCTCTACAAACAACATCTGCCCTGATTGCCTTTAAATAAAACCTCGACGTGAGCTTCCGCGTACAGCCGGCTTCAAATCAGTATTACAGTACTTCATTACGCCGCCGCCAGAATATACGGGGGCTTTCTGGATCGCCACTTTCCCCAAAGGAGCAGACATTTAAGCGTGACATTCAAATCTACCTGCTCTGCAAACAGCGGCGCGCTTTATTTGTGCGCACGACCGTCCCCATGTTTACACGCAATTATCCAGCGATGATTAAGCAGCGTTTAAGGCCAGTAAACTCCGAGCTGTCTGTCTGCATAGATGCTGGATTCGGGCTGCTGCCGAGCTCGCCAAAAGAGGAAAAAAATGGAGCGGATGGATGGGATGGAGGGGGGATAGAGAGGTCTTTGATATTTCATTGTTTAGGGTCTCCCATCCCGGCTTCGTTATCATTTGGCTGCTCTGGTCGCCGCAGTTATCCGGCTCTCGGCGTGTAGAACAATATTGCGATTTTCTGTTACGCCTATACGTTTATGCATGCTATATCACACGCTGCCTTCCCCGACGCCGTTTTTGTATATTCTCTTTTATCATCAAATGCCTGCGAGTATCTGAAGGCTATGCCCGCATTGCGTCATGGCCTCCTATTTTTTTTTTTTGCTCCTTTGATTGAGTCCCCCCCTCCCCCTTTTCGCTCCGCCAGAGAAGAACTAGGTCACCATAAACATTGACATGACTTAAATCAAAGTCATCCCTCTGTTTCAAGTAAACAAAATGCACACAGGCCTGTATAACATAATAGGATCGCTGATAGAGCTGATAAGTGAGTCAACACATAGGAATTCCCATTTGGCTGCGTCTTTGTTAGATAACTCCGCTTTGACAAGACTTTCTTCAACAAACTTTGACACAGGGAGAATGAGGAGCAAATGTGACCTGATTATTTTCAGTGTATTCTTTTTTTATTTTTTTATTGTGATGAGGCCCTTTTGAGTCCACGAGTTCAGGAGAGGAGCGTTAGAAAAGGACACGCTGTGGAAAGATTCTAATTCTTCTGCAAAATACGAAGGAGATTAATGTAATATTATTCCGGCAAATTCATTACGTTTTGATCATTGCTCTTCTTACAAGAAACCTTTTTGGGGAAATGCTTTTTGGAGCTACTTAATCCATGATTTGGCAGCGCAGGCGTCTGTGTCTGACTAGGCGGGTGTAATATTAACTACAACTAACAACGTGCGACAGAAAAGTAATTGAATAATTGCTAACCGCTCATTACGAACTAGAACACGAGTAAGTTATAGTAATTAATGAAGGAAACAGAAAAGGCCTCAATGTCTCATCTTTAGATAAAACTAGATAAAATGGTATAGTCTAAAAACTACTCTTGCTACAGACGGGTTGTGTTCAGCCATGTTTAACGCATGTTTAATGTTTTAACGCTGTAAAACCGCTCACCACACTTTATACACTTTTCTAACAACCTGAACTCACCACTGCTGAAATGCAATCGCAGAGATATCAAACCTGTTCGTTGAAGGTCTGAGCGCTGCTGCAGCTGTCAAAAGCTGTGCATATACTGTAAAATACAGCTGCAAAGGACACTGCGCTGACGGGCAGGAGCACAAAAGTGTAAAGGCAACTGTCATATGTTATACCCACGGTTATCTGGAGTTCTTGGAGTATGAGAAGCACGCTGTCCAAAAAGCAAGCATAATTGTGCACAAGACTTCACTGCAAAAAATGATACAATATAAGTTAATAATTGCTTGAATCACGTGTTTTTACCTTTTAGTTTTGACAGTCTAAACCCAAGACTTGCCGTTGGAACATCAAAAATGTCTCTTCCAAGGAAGAAATGTCTTCCTTGGAATGAGACATACGTAAATGAGACATAATGCATTGTTCCTTTAGCAACTCTTGTTTCAGAAAGTCAAAATATACTCAAATTAAGATAAAAAAGACTTGATTCAAGCATTTATTACCTTATATTTCTTCACTTTTTGCAGTGACGTTATTTGTGCACAATTATGCATGCATTTTTGACAGTATGCTTCTCGTACTCCCAAGAACACCAGATAACAGCGGGTACAACATGACAGTTACCTTTATTTAATGTCAGAAGAAAACTGTGTGAAAGGTGAACCGCATTATAGCGAGGGACCACTGTTCTTTGACACCACAGCTACAGCTCCTGTTAGACCTTATGTTGTAATTATATGGTAAATTATACATTTATTTAACAAATTATGGGTTACAGTAATTAACATACAGTACATTTCTATGCAGTAACTTACTGGGAACTGTTTTCTAGTATGTCATTGTGAACACACAGATTACTGCCTTTTCACATTAAAGTAACAAATGCATAAATAGCTTTTGTGGCTGGAACAGGAATAATGGAAGCGCCTAACGTTATATTTTCTTTCTAATTTTACAAGTACATTTTAACAGCCTTGCACTTCTTCTGAACTCGCCGACTCCACGACCTCCTGCGCATAACCGAGCGCCGAGCGTGCGTAACCGTGTCAACATAAAGGAATTCCCCTCTGACGTCGTGATATAACGCCATTCTCTTTGACAAGGCTTTGTTCGGCAAAGTTTGACGTGATTCAAAATGAAGAACAAATCCGGCCTAATTACTTTGCACACATCTCATTCGCCCTGTGCCAAAGTCGTGACCGGGGGAGAGAGGCGCGCCGCGGTTTCAGGCCGGAGCACAGAACAAACACGCAGCTGATGGAAGGTTGAGAGAAGGACGTGCACCTGGGGAGGGCGTGCTGCACACCACCGTCTCTGCCAGCAGGTTGTTATAGGGGTTAGTGTCGTGGGTTCGGAGCAAGGGGTTAGTTAGAAGGTAGTTTCCGGTCATCCCTGTAACGAGCAAGACAAGGAAGACGTTAACAGAAAATCGGGTGAAGGGAGGAGGGTAGGGGGGAGAGAGAGAGTCGGGGAGGATTCACAGGTACAGTTGTGCTCAAAGGTTTAGAATAAAGTGCATTCCTCAAGAGTCCAGCTGGTTTTTGCTCGGGTTCATAATTCTAGTTTTGCATTTTTTATACTTCTAAATTGAGATTTTGTACCTAATTCTTGCTTCTTCATTATGCTCAAGCTAGAGATGATATATTGCTTCCTTATTATGCGAATACTAGAGATTTTACACTGCTGATTTCATTTTATTTTATTATAGAGTTTTTGTTCATTTATCTTGTGCTGTGTGCTCCTCGTTCCTACTGTTCTGCATGCAACACTGAAATTTCCCCACTGTGGGACGAATAAAGGCTCTTTTAATCTCCTAATATGTGTAGAGTTGGTCAATAAACTTGCCTTTTTACAATGGAAACAGGTGTATGACTTGAATCTTAAATGATATTGTGTTGTGTTACTGTTCTACTGTATCGTTTTTGTCGATTGTGTTCCAAATCGTCTGTGTTGAAAATAGTGAGAGGGGTTTGGAAGATTATGAGAGTCTGTTTTATCCAACCCCCGTTCAAACCGTGCTCGTGTTTCTGCGACTGTTTGGTTTGTTTGGGGGAACTGTGTTGTTTAGGGATTTGAAATAAACATCTTGATTGATTAAAATAAAACCAGACAGTTGAGGAATGCACCTGTAAATATCCCGGCATTCGGCTGTGGTTGGATGGAGCCATTTTTGTAAAATCGAGCGACCGAGTTTTATTCTTTCAAATGATGGATCAAAAGTCTGCACACCCTGGTGATTTTGTCAACAGAGCCAGGTCAGAACGACTTCCAAAGTCATTCATACTTGACAATAACTGGCTTCACCCAACCACGGAGCAAAAAGTCATATTTGCTGGATGTTTGGAGTACATGCATGTATCAATTATTTAGTGTAATCTAAATCTAATCGTTCCATTTGTGAAATTATACATAAATGCTACATGTTTTGCAATTAATACTATTTGGATTGTACAAAAGACAACCAGTACTGACCTAAAAATTATGTTAAAAATGTATTTTAAGATGTAACCTTGGGAAGAAAATACATACATCACTATTCTATATTTTAATTTGTGAAATAAACATTTTTGATTTAGTATTATTCTCTTTTCACATTGAATATACAGAGATCTTTGGTCCAGACAAAGGACCAGGATCTGTCAAACTTCATGAAGAGGAAATGATCTAGTATCAATTATAAACATGAAGCTAACAGACATTTTAAAAATCCATTAATCCTCCTCTAAAATCTGTAAACAGCCCGTAACAGTAACAAAGGCCGAATCTCTGTGCAAATTCCCATTATAGATTTACGATGCTCCCTGTTCGGTTATAGACAAGGAGGAAGCCACATTGTTTTTACGACCAGACAGTGTAATCCAAACAGACGGACAGCAAAGGGAGAAAGACAAAATAGTGTTTAAAATAAAAGCAGTTAAACAGTCAAGATGTTAGACGAAACATGCACAAATGTCCTGCAGTGAAAAATACAGTCTGGGCCTCCGTGGGGAGCAGAGAGTCCGCTTGGTGTAAGAACTACTTCAAATAAGTGGCGTTTCCACTGGTTTCACGAGCGCCACCAGCAAACTCACAGTCTCACAATATGGACGTTTATTTGTATTAGTATTATTATAAGTCATATTGAAGTATTAGTCTGTTATGACAGTTATGACAAACCCATTATTGTGATTTATCCAATGTTTAGATGAACATGCGTAACCTCCTGGAGTTGGTTTCTGTAATTTTTTCTTGCAACAGACCAATTACCATTTTTAATATTGTGAATTATTATCGTATCAGATTATTTATTGAGTTTCTACAAAAAGTGAGGATTTGCACAAGATTTAGCACCTGCTACTTTGATTACAATACAGGTGAAACTCAGAAAATTAAAATATTGGACTCAGTATTTCAACTCAATAATGTGAAAATATAAAATACTCACTCAGAACAAGCTAAGTGTTTAGTTAATTTTGATGTTTGTGGTTTGTATTTTAAAATGTTCTGATTTTCTTAAATAGATCCTTTTTTGGGTTTTTTTCCAAGCTGTGAGCCAATTATCAACATTATACCAAATAAATCCTTGATCTGTCTCTCATCGCTTGAAATGCGTCATATCATTTTCACATTGTAAGTTGAATTATCGAAGTAAATGGACTTTTAAACCATATTCTCATTTTAAGAGCTTCACCTGCTTTTATATTACTCAATCCCTATCTTCAACGGTGATTAACTGTTGCCGTTTTACCCACAAAGCGAACGTCGTAACATTTTGAAATGAAATTGTTCAGTATGAAACAGTGCGATACAACCTGGCCTTCATACTCCCAAACCAGAAGCGACTTAAAGAGCACACCGACAGTTCCGACTCTTATCAGCCGTGTGTGTAGAAAAACGCGGAGAACTTTGATCCGCAGCCAGGTTTTAATGTTATTTTTTGCCTGCTCGGAGTCACGCAGCCTTCATCTTTAGCCCCCCCCCCCCCCCCCCCCACTCCCACTCTCATGAGACGCAGCAGTGTCATGTAGGCCAGATCGATTGAAGCGCTCTCTGTAGCCTGCCAACATGGTCCCGACAAAAGGGGAGGGAGAGAGTATAGGGCGGCTCGGGCTGGGTGGAGGTGGTGGCCCCTTGGTGTGCGGGTGTGGTATTTTTTTTCCCACTGCGTACCCTGGTTGAGCGTGGAGGTGCTGTTGATGTCTCCGGAGATGAAGGAGGACTCTGACTGCTTCCTCACCGTGTCGTTCCACATCCTCCTAATGCGACTCTGAAGAGAAGAAGAAGGGTAGAGTGGGGAGAGAGAGGGGGGGAGGGGAGGCAAACACGGAGCATTGATCAGGGCCCGAGTCGTGCATACTGTTGGGTGGCTTTGCGGAGAGATGGTGATTGAGTGGTGGGAGAGGTAGGTAGGTGGGAACAAGAGCTGGAGATCAATGTTTGATGCGGAATCGGGCCGTTTAAGTGTTTGTCTGTTGTTTTAAGCCAAGAGACAGATTTGCATTGAAATCCCCACTCTCTAAACGGTTTGGCTCCATCGCTACTTTTTATGTGCATATATATTTGGTCTAAGCTTTTTAGAACGGGACATGTGACAAAAGAGGACCAGCCACTCAGCCAAACAACTCAGCTCTGAGCCCAAAGCGTCAAATAGTGACTAGATAGAGGACAGCGTGTTGTGGATAGGTCTGATTTGTTCACAAAATATTACTTTTACTGGGTTCTTTGGGTTGGAATCTATGAAAAAAAATCAAGGTAGGCACCCCAGCTTTAAGATTGTCAAATTGTATGTACCTTCAATAAGGCCTTTAAAGAGAAAATGATTCCTTAATAGAGTTTACTTTTAGGAGTGTGATCTTGAGTACTTTCGCATTTAACAAACATTTAACATTGTACAACTTGAAATAGCGTTGGAAGTAATGTGTTAGTTGGAACTTTCAGTCTCTGATGCAAGCGATTCGAGACATGTTCAAAGATGTCAGCATGCGACCAGACGACAGAAAAAGAAAAGACTGAAAAGACCAAAAAAAAGCCGGCTCCCCATTCCACAGACCTGACCTGTGACATGACCAGGCAGTTTATCCATATACGGTACATTTAATGCCATGGAGTAAAACCAGAGCCATGGCGGCACTTGAGAAGTAGCAGAAGGCACTTTTGTTTTGGCCTCACTCTCTTTCCACGGTCACTGCGGAAATGTGACCATGTATGTGTGTGCGCTGTCGATAGCCCCGCACACTTAATCCATATTCCATTGTCTTTAGATCAATAATAAACTCTGAGGTTAACTAATTGAACAGTAGATTGGATGTGTGTGTATGTGATATGGGAAGCCTTCATATTGTCCCTGCAAGTACGATAAAACGCTTCAATCATTCTGTATCCAGCCGTACAGATCCCCATACGCTGACATTGCGTTATACACGTGTACATTTTAGCAGAGAGACGCTGTAACCGGCAAAGCGTGATTTTTTAGCTTTAATGCTAATTTTAACTCACCTTTGTTTCACTCCGACTCCAGCCCCTTTTTCAATGCCATTTCTAATAATAGCCTGGACCCAGCCCTCGCACTGCTATTTAGACGATTCAAAAACAAAATGGATAAAATACAGTTGTCTAGTCCCCAGTAAATTCTCTAAAGTGCTCTTGAGAAGTGGCAGTCCCAGCAGCGGCAGAGATTAGGAGTGGTCTGCGTGTCAGCCATGCTCTCTTATCAGTTTAAGTCCTGTCTATCACACACTGTTACAGGCAATAGAGGCCGCAAATGTATTTTTATTTGCTTTAAAAAAGAAAAAGAAATAAGATGGTCTGATCACGTTAATGCCTTCTGCCTGCTCTGCCGCAATACGTCTGTAATAGTTCCTGATTGTATTCAGTTCAATCTTTGATACGTAACCTTGGGAGTGCGATAAGGCAGTTAAGCGGTGCAATGGAGTCCGCAGAGAGATGCAAAGAGACTCGAGAATACGCTTTTTTATGAGCAAATCATCTAAAAGGATGAATTTGACAGGCTGATAGAAAGCATTGGTGTTTAATTAAATCTGTGTGTTGTTGCTTAGTTGCTACACATGAGGAGGATAAGGTCAGTGCGGGATATTTCTATTACCAATGTGTGCAAAAGGTGTGATGTTTTGGATTAAAGGTGTTGTTGAGTAATAGTAAACAAGAGGTGCCTGGAATTTTTTTTTGTGCGAGATGGCTTCTTTATGTAACCAGACTTGATCATAATTAGTTTAAAAATGGGGTATGACTTATTTTTTTGCATTTTGCAGAGCTGAAGTTGGTTGAATGACAGGTTTTTTGCCAGCTACTTTAACATAGACGGCACTGTCGGTACACAGTGGTCCTCAGTGGTCCACGTTCCAAAAAAATAAATAAAACGCAAATAGGCGAAATGGTGTAGCAGGGATAAGTAAAACACCTCACCACAAACTTTATACACTTTGCTAACCAACTGAACTCACAACTGACATAAAAAATGAGAATCCACCCAAAATTAGCAGATGTTGCCATAAGTAGTTTTATCTCCAGCATCTTGATCCACCTTTTCCATCTCAGTCTATAGTCTCAGTTTGTATGAATATCAATTGATGCTGCGTTGCATTGAGCTACACTGCAAAAAATGCCTGAAATTATTAGATTTTTTTTTTTTTTACTTTTTTGAACTAACAAAAAAATATTATGCATTATTTGAATGAATTTCACTTTGACATTTCTATGGAAAATGTAGGGAAACAAAATGATCTGCATTAGAGAAATATCCTTAATCACCCCTGTGTAAATTACGAGCCAATATAACAAACATCAAACATGGTGTGGTTCAAATACAACTACAACTTTTTACAGGCAATACAGAAAACAACTCTGTCCTTCGCGCCATAGTTTTAAAAATAAGTATATGGGCAGAAGGGGCGGGGGTTGTGATTACCAATTTGCATCCATAGTTCCTGGTAATAACGAGGCTTTAGCTAAAAATAAGGTCTGCAGAATATGCATTGTATCAAGTCTGTGTTTACTGTTGATCTGGTCCTTGCTGGACTTATTCTGATTCACTTGGGGCAAAAAAATGCTGAAGTGCCCACTAGTCACTTAAGTCAGTTTACATCTTTTGAAACATACTGTATCTGTGAAGCGTTATTTCGCCCCAAATAAAATCAATAGAACATTTTTATTCCCATTCCAAGAGAGACATTGCTTCTCTCATCTCATAGTGAAACAAAATTTCAGTAAAACAACACATTCTATGCTTGTCCCATTGGCAAACCTTATCAAAACACACTCAAAGATAAAAGCGACTTACTTCAATCACTTATTTCCTTTTCTTTCTTTGTTTTTGCAGTGTAGCTCTCTCCTGCTTGCCACTAAAGCCATCTAATTCCAGTAAAAGACAGACTCCAGCGATTCCAAACTCAATTACTTGTGTGCAGATGGCCCGCAGGCTCGCCCCGGGGCAGCGGTATACGCACATGCTTACTCGGTCTTACCTGCGTGGCGGAGGAGTAGCGCGCGGTGGAACGTGACGTGGAGGTCTTGGCGGAGCTGTGCGGGCCCTCGGAGGGGAGCGCGCCGCAGCACTGGGACTGACGGAAACATTTGCTGTACTCTTTGCGGACCTGCGACGGGGAAAGGGAAAAGATCAAGCCAAAAGAAGCCATGCGACTGCTCCCCTCGGCACGAAGAGAGGAGACAAAATGGAAGTCCCAAATCTGTATCGAAATGTCATCCTGCTGACAGCCGAGTAAATGCCATATTTGTAAAAGGACAGTGGCGACGCACATAAGGGAGAAGGCGTCTTTGATACACATCGTTTTGAGGGAATAAAAACACAACACGAGTTTATCAAATACTGGTGATATATGCTGACAGAGTTACTGCGGTTCTCAAACTTTTCCGAGCAGAAAGTTCCAGCCCATGAATTATTTGAGTTTGGTCCAGGTTTAAATTTAAAGCAATTGAGGAAATACTTTTAGGAGCATTTCAGGACAAGTATAAACATTGGGTCCAATTAAAGTGACTTAAACAACAACAGAATTGGACAAATGGATCATCAGTGACTAAAAGAATCAAAGGGAAACATTTAAATATAAGCTTTTGATTGAAATGGACTGTATGTAATAAGCCCTGAATACAGATGCAATCCACCTGTTGGAGTTTAGCTAGAAACGATTAAAACTGTATTACAATTGACTACGTCTTTTTGTACCCATTTTATTTTCTTAATCTGTGGTGCCTCTTTAGTTGGTGAATATTGTAATAGAAATATACAGTACATAGAGTACATTTCTGACCAATTATCTGAGGACACAAATACAATATGTACATGTCATTTAAAATGTTTATATTACGCACGGTTCAGTCACATTTGTTAAGGACAGTTTTTTTTTGACATACAGTACTAGTCCTTCACCTCTTCCTTAAGCTGTAAAGTTGAATTAATAATATTGTTAATCTCAAAACTTAGATGCAGCAATTACTCTAGAAACAACATTTGATGAACCCCAGTCAACTTTTAGTCAACTTAAAATATATTCTGTTTTTTTATTTTTGTATGAACTTCATGCTGCACAATGTCCCCTTTTACAGAAATTGCAAATTGACTTTCAAGTACCTGGTATTTTGCTAAAAAGGGAGGCCTCTCGAGCTCAGGCCGCGATCCCATTTTGAAAACCAGTGAAAGTATTTGACGCACGTACCTTCTTCTGAAGCAGGCAGTGGAAGATGAAGATGAACATCCCTTGCAGCGTGTTGAAGATGGTGAAGAGATACGCCATCACTATGGACGACTCGTTGAGGAAGAACAACCCGAACGACCAGGTTAAGCCGAGCAGGCAGAGCAGTGCAAACGCTCCCAGCACCCACGACCTGCACAACACCAGCACAGAGCATGAGGGAGATTCAAGAGGGCATGGGGTGAAACTGAACCCGTTACCATGGAGAAGAGGCAAATGGATAAAATAGTAATTACGAAGAGGAGGCAACAACGTAAGAAAGTTATTTAGATATTTGGGAACGATGTGGATTTCAGCCGATCTAATTCAATGTCTTTAAAGAAGAAATGATGTGCATTATTGTTGATGAGACTATATCCTTTGTCTTTTCACGATTTAGAATGTTAAATTAAATCGGAAATTGAAGGGGAGCCTTTGTGTAAGCATAAAACCATTACTTTTTACCCTAACCCGACGATTTACTTTTACTCAATATTTTAAAACTCAAAGTACCTGCACCTTCTACAACTTACATTTTAAAATTACTTGCTGACACGACAAACAGTCAGCCAAGGCTCTAAATAAATTAAATGTAGTTAGCCATGCTTCTAAGTTCAGTGGATTTGGCATTTTTGGCCTAAGTTCTATACCTAAGCCCAAGTTTGGCCTAAAATTATTTTTTAATTGTGTGTAATATTTCTAGAGTTTCTAATACATCTATTGTCCTCATTCTACAACAAAAATGCATCTCACACGTATAAAAGCTTTTACTTTTATACTTAAATCATTTAAATACTTTCACTCGAGTGGAATTTTAGCGTCCTAGTTTAGTACTGTTGCCGCTTGTATAATTGCCAATTTAAAAGTATACATTAAAAAGTATATGGATCCACAGTAGTGCTTAACTTAATTATGCATCTCCGTCTTTCTTGCCAATTCTTATTTCATATCTCTCACAAATGTTGAGACTACCATCTTTTATGACACTATTCTTGTCAAAACCGATCAGGTCACAGTGGATAAACGACGACAGTATCTACAGTAGGTGTATACAGTGGCGCAGGGAAGCAAACATATCTCCTTCCTGCGCACTGGCTAAACACAGCATTTTATTTCCCACTTTTTTTTTCTTCATGCGGGCAGTTTCCAGGAAAGCCTAGGAAGAAATAGGATAACTTAGCAGTCAGTTTCAATGACGGTGCCTGGCTGTTAGCTGAAACACAAGAGCTGCCCCAGGAGATATGGAGGAGCCTGGAGAGCAGAGAGAGACGAGCTCGCAAACGATGCTAGTGGTGGCGGTGGTGGGGGCGGAGGGACAAGACGACACCAGCCCCGGTCTCTCTCTGGAGTGACGGCTGTTAAACCCACGCCGCCGGGAATGCGTCCGCTGTTTACGGTTTTTTTTCCCGGAGATTCGCACATATGTTGCAACCAATTTGGCTTTGGCACGTTTGTCGCTGAGCCGGGCGGCGGGCAGATCTCAAGCAGGACCCTAATTAATGACGGTTAATGAGTTCCGAATGCCTGTGATAACGTGCGAAATCCAATCTGATAGTGAGATTTTCTACAGCAATAAAAAAAGGCAGATTATAAAAAACAAACAAACTTGAAATGAATCCTTTAGGCGGCAAAGCTTTTATTTCATTTTTTAATTTTCATTTCATAAAATTGGTAAAACAGACTGAAAGTTTGTAAGTAAAAAGTAATCTTATTTAAATAGCGCTTTAGAATTGTTGTAGGCAATTGTCACAAAGAGAGCGGAGCGGGTTTCCGTACAGGAGGCACATGCCAGACCAAGTGTACATGTTTTAGTGGATAGGGGAAACCCGGAACAACTGGAGGAAACCTATACAGACACGGGGAGAACATGCAAACTCCACACAGAAAGGCCTGAAATCGAACCCAGGACCTTCTTGCTGTGATACACAAGCGCTAACCACTGTGCCTCCTTGTAAGAGATTAAAATTATAAATCTACTATTCATAATGGTTTCTCTCCTGGACTAGTCAATCTTTGTTAAAACAATTGTAAAAAATAAAAAAATAAAGAAAAATCTGTCCAAAAATAATGAGGAAACTTTAATGTAAAAAGTGTCTAGAAGAAGTAGGGATAGCCTTTATACGTATGTGTGATTTCTAGATTTGATCGAAAATTCAGAACAAATTGTCCAAGAGCAGTGAAGAGTTCAGAAATGCAACAAGAATTGGGAATTATTACGGAGATCTTTTTCAATTTGTTAAAAGGGGTCTCTCATCTAAGCGTAGTCAGCAAGGGTCACAGAGATGGTCAGGAATGGAATAAAGAAGTCCAATATAACTGGCGGCGGGATCCTAAGTGATCTGAAGAAGCAGAGGAGCGAAATGCCAAAATGAAAAGCATATTGGGAGAATTGAGCAAATGTTAAGGTCGGATGGGTAATTTCAAGAGGCAGAAGTAATGGCGGATGTTATTTTTTCCCCGCTCCGCTTATGATTGAGCGCGGAGGAGACGGACAGGGCCAAAGTAAGTGTGCCGCGGTCACTCAATCTCCCCGAGCGGACCCTGGCTGGCCCCCCTCTTACCTGATACCCCCGAGCCGGGACGAGTCGGGTTTCATGGAGGTGGAGTGCTTCACCATCTTGTACATGGTCACCACCAGGAAGATGACATTGACCTGTCAGAGGAGAGAGAGGAGAGGGGAGAGTGGAGAGAGGGGTTAACGCCACGCACTTAGAGCCGCCATCGATATCCTGGACAAAAACAAGAGGCGCGCATTACCAGAAGCGGACCTCACATCCAATCTATAGTCCGACAGTGTTTCTGAACCATATCATCTGATTGGTCAAAATAATGTGAAAATGACTTTGAATGGTTAATAAAGGCTGAAGAGTTTTATTTTCATTTCATTTTGTCCCAGTTTCGGTTGGTAATAATGTGTCTTCTGTGCATTTGTTTCTTTGTCACCTTTAACACCTTCTGGTAAAACTTTGATAATGAGCAAAAACTGTATTAAATGAATTTAAAAACACAAAAAAACTACATAATTCATCTGTAAAATCTATTACTGTAGTTCCAAGCTAGCAACACACATGCATGTATTTATGACCTGTTGTTTCTTTAGATGTGCTTTTCCAGACAGAAAAGTGAAAACGGCGGGCCGTGTTCATTGTGCCAAGTTCTCCTTGTGAAAGAGATTTTTGATTTCAAAGAGTTTAACCTGGTTAAATAAAAAAGTCAAAAACACAAACGGCTTCTCTCAGCCCAAAGCATCAAAGACTGACTTACATGGCTCTCTAACAAGTATGCAATAAGATTAGGACAGCACAATGTGGCCCTTTTTGCTCACAACATTTTGGAAAAAGTGATGTACCCAATATTAAAGATATGATATTAAAGGCAATATTAAAGGCTTATTTTTTTTATAACAAACCAAACCATTAGGACGGATAAAATCATTACTTAAACCATTTTTTTCAAAATGAATTAAGTCATTCTTCATTTTGTTAAGGTTTGTTAAGTTTAAGATAAGATATGGCTATAAAGGTTATTTCTCTCCCTGCTAAAAATATTACTTTAAACAATTCTTAGAAGTTAAACTATTATTTTGCAGCAGTGTCTCAATTACACCGCTCATATAACTTGGATAACTTAATTTCTATATTTCCACAAGTAAACACAACTAAGATCATTGAATTTGCTTTCAATCCTTTTCTGCGCTCAACCTTTGTTTGTCCACTAGTCTGTAATATCATTTCATTTCAAAAGCATTCTCAAAGAAGAAAACACTTCATCAACACCAACTGAGGCCATCTGCGAACGCTTGTGCTCTGGAAAATGAGACTTTAGAAGCAATTCCAATCAAGCTAATGTCAGCATAAAAATCTATTCCAATCTCCGTTGCTTCAATGACAAATTCTTTAAAAGGGCACGGATTTCAGACCGAGCGACTTCATTGGGCGACGTGTAACTTTGAAGCTCACTTGATTTATATTTGATTCCTTTTTTTTTCCACGCTCGCTATTCTGTTACGGCAATAGAAGAAATGAAAACATCTGGGAGAACCCCGTGTCCACTTTGTTGTCAGCTCAAATATAAACACTCATTGGATGCAGCTACTTTCATATAAAACTGACAGGGAGGGAGTGTTTATGGGAAACAATGCGAGCAAAATTAACAGCAGCTGTATCAGAAATTCAAGTCGCAAATATTGAGAATTGGTTTTCCCCCCGTCTCCGTATGCCGTGCCAGCTTAGAGTACTCAGAGCTGCGTTTTTATATCCCAATCCTAACATAAGATAAATGGGGATATTTTGATGTTGCAGCGCACAAAATAGTAGAGTATAAGTAGTTGCTATGTTTCTTAGTTGGAAAGTTGGCTGGCGGCACGGTGGCTGAGTGGATAGCACTCTCGCCTCTCAGCAAGAAGGTCCTGGGTTCGAATCCCGGTCAGACCAGGGCCTTTCTGAGTGGAGTTTGCATGTTCTCCCCGTGTCTGCGTAGGTTTCCTCCGGGTACTCCGGTTTCCCCTACCACTAAAAATATGTACAATAGGTCTGGCATGTGCCTCTTGTACTGGCGACCCTGCTCCCATCTCTGTGTGGAGTGAGAGACATATGCCCAAAAATTAACAATTGTAAACCGCTTTAAGACTCAGATCTGCAGTGAAAAGGCGGTATATAAATGATTACTTACTTACTTACTACTTACTTAGTTAGCTGTAAATGCTTCTCTATCTTCATCTACGTCTACATCTATATCTATCTATCTGTATCTACCTCCATACATATTTATCCATCTCTATCTCTACCGCTCAGAGGAGTAATCGTAGCAACAGGCTTATATCACCCAACAGAACTTTTAAGAGATCCTTTGTTCCTTCGGCTGTCAGACTGTACAACAGACCTGTATGAGTAAAAAATATGCACTATTGTTAGGTAGTTAGTTAGAAATATTTATAATTGATGTAATCATGTGTTAATATGGATGTGCTTTCTGCTTCTGTACACCTGAATGTCTCCAACGGGGATCAATAAAGTATATATCCTTCTATCTATCTCTCCGTTTTGACCACGTTATAGTCGTCTTCCCTTCATAGCTGTTTTGAGAGCGATTCAGAAATGCATGAGCCAATTTCCTATAAAATACACTAAACGTACAGTAATGAGCTCCGGGTATAACAGACGATCATATTTAGCAGCCAGAGTCATGGTATGCCTTCTTTACCGCTGGCCTGTCGTAATGGCGTGGATAATAGAGCGTGCTTGTGTGTTTGAACCTCCCTCTGTGCGCTCTCCATGGGGTTGTCCTCTGCTATATTCCTCTGTCAAATACATCACGGGGAAAACACGCAACGCAGCCCTTTTCAAGGTTTTCTCTATTTACAGACTGGTCGGACACATTTACATGCTATTACCATACGCTCGGGCTGCTGCATATATCCAGACCCAGGTGCGGAGGGCGGTGCATGCGTCATCCAAAGAACATGAAATATTTAAAACATGTTTGCACCGAAAGCAATGGGTTGATATGAGAAGCTGTGTGAATAGCTCTGGTGTGCACGATACTTAAAACCATGCAATATGTTAATCAGCAAAGACTTTTAGACTTGTAGATTTTAGTCCTGTTCAGGGAAACATCTTTAGAACCATGCAGTGTGTTGTAAAAGCTGTAATGTGAGAGATAGAAGGAAGAGTGTGAAAAGGTTACAGGTTCTTTGATAAACAATATAATAAACTAATGTTATAAACTGACTCAAGTACGAAAGAGATGCCAACTTCTAAAATAAAGTAAATTGTTAATCATTTTAAAACACTGTTGCAATTGTTGCCACTTTTGTATGTGTGTTGACTGATCCTCAAACATAACATACTTTGGTGAACTTGAGAAACTAAAACATGACAGAAATCCATTTAAAGTTTACAGGAATATATGTGACAGACTGTTCTTGCTGCAAGTTGTCTGTGGGTAAGACCGCCGTACGCAGACTACGCAAGACTGGGCTGCAGTTTGGCTAAGAACGTTTATTTTGTCTTTTAAATGGTCTTGTTGAAATGTAGGCATAACAAGGCCATCGAGATCAGGAAGAATCTCAGACAACACCATCAGCTGTGACCACGGAGCCTTCCTCCGGTCCCACACATGGCCACCAGGCAAGAGGGGTCCTGAGTGACCTGTCAGACTGACCACGCCTGCTCAGGATGTAACATCGACTGGTAAATGACAAAACCAAGGCCTGTGACAGTCCTAAAGACTAACAAGGTAATGACTTCTCACCCAGTAGTTATCAATGAGAACCTAAAGAGTGAATTACAGTTTGTGTGTGTATGGAAAGCACGTTATAAATAAAGTTATATTGATTGAGATTGACACACCACCAGAATATTGCCACAGATATCTATTTCTGTCCAAATTTCCTGTGTCAAACTCAAAACATGTATTGGCTGAGGCAAAGGATACAACATTTATAATAAAACAATAACATGTCCTCTTTCATTCATTCACATGGATTTTCGTATATGCACTTGTGCTGCCTACGTGCACAAACCCGGGTGCAGGCAGGTTTGGTTTGGTTTGGTCGGTCTCTGTGTCGGAGTGAGTCATCCTTAGCTGCACATAAAATATTAAGGTGTTGAAGATGGAGATGTCCGTGTGCTGGGATTGGCTGGGGACGTGTCATGATCCACAGCGGGGCTATGAGCTGTGGTAATAGGTGTCTACTGGCCCGCCCGCTCATTACTCCCATGTTCCTCGGCTCGCAGCCACCCCTTGTTTTTCCCACCGAGCAAATGACCTTCATGCCTGATTGCCCGTCCGGGAGTATTCCTCTATTCTCTATCTCCCTTTCCAAACGTAGCCCCCAAACAACTTCCAACTTGCTCGCCAATTCTGATTTCACAAGGATTTCATGGCTGAATGGAGGCCGATGTCCTCATGTCAGCCATAATGGGACCACTTTCCTTTCATGCAAATTGATCGCGAAAGTGAGAGGCTGCCAGTGTGTGCGCGAGAGGCGGAAAAGCAAGAAAAAATCTATAATGTTTTCCCAGCCCAAAGATATACCTGTGCGTGGACTTACCACAATTATGAAGGTTACGGGTCCGATGAAACTCCAGATGAAATGGTTATCAACCCTCAGCCAGCATCTATAGATTGGGGGGAAAAAAGGGGATATACTTAAGTTCATTAATCATCTCATTGCCAAAACAAAGTTGTGTGTCATCGATCAAGGGCTAGCAGTACGGAACGAGCTACTGAGGAGCGATGGGAGGCTCCGCTGACCACAGAAAAGCACAGCCTAGTGGGGGATTGGCCCGCTGCCATGGGAAGCGCAGAGTTAGTGGTTATTGGTTGGATGACTTCACGGTCTGCAAATGTCTACGAATGCGGATGACCATGTGGAGCTCTGCACTACATCCAAAGCACACAGATAAAAGGTTAACAAAAGCCTATACTCTGTACTGTGTACCTTTTGTGATGGGGTTGGTTATCTGCTTAAGGCCATGGAGATGGAGTTTAATGACAAACTGTGGTTGATTTCAGGCAAAACAAAAATACTGTAGCTCAGCGCGCCTTCCCTACTCTCCACGCTTTGTTTGTTTCAAAAATAATAATACATCATTCTTATAAAGTTTTTTGGACACTCAGAGACTTAAATATCTAAAATAATATATTTAGTTTGTCCCAACAGAAGGAATCTTTTAAAAGTAATATTTTATGAACTAATAAGACCACCACATGCCAAATTACTTATGAGAAAATAATCTATATTTTGCATACTTGCAAGAAAGAGCCCTGTTAGACATTTTGAGCTGCTGTCAATGCATTTAATTGGCTGAGTGACCACCGTCACCCAACTTTGAGAGCAAGGAAGTAGTTAGATGGATTGTATAACATAGTTTTGTAGTGGTTTTAAAGATAGGCATCCCAGCTTTAAGAAAGCACCTAGAAATCACAGATTTTTCTTGAATGTACAGTATCGTCAAACAAGTATTTTCCTATTGTTCATAAGTTTTTGAATACGTTTGCATTGTTAACTATCATAATCCAATCATATCCGTCTCAGTTTCCAAGCTCTAGTGTGATGTATCTAAAGATTGTTTCCATGGAGAATACGAAGTGTAATGCCATACTGTGTAACCTAGGTAATCTATTATTTATTAAATGTATAACTCCCATACCAAAAATACCATGCCTCGCCCTACTAACCATTGCATACAGTTTTCTGTGGCACAACAAAAAAATTGTTAATATGGCCGAAAGGGATGTGGCAGTAATAACTACTGAACAAAATGATAGTGTTGATAAGACGCAAAGCATATTCCCACTACGATAAGGCAGTAGTGGAATTTAATATACATTAAAAACAAGGAGGATGGACCAGATTGTTTGCGGGATGACGTCACGTTCGCAACTGGCTACAAAAGTCTGAATTATGCAAAGTGGATATACAGTATCTCATGCGGTCACACCATGGACCTAAAATTAAGCAATGACCCCAGCAATAAACTGCTTTTGAAGGGAAAAAATATTGCCTGAAACTTGCATAAACCACGGTTTTGCAGTGGTACAAATCATAAGAAGTGCATAAACTTCCTTAACTGACATGGGCAGCAATTATCTGCATGCAAAGAATAAAGAAGCCAGCGAGCCGCAGAAGCGAGCTGCTGTAGTCATTAATGTTGCGGTTTTGCACACAGCCTACTCTTCTTTTTTGCAGTGACATGGAGAGCGTTCGCCCAGGAGCTGAGGCGGTGCGCTTTTTCCGATACTATTACATATATACATGCATAGAGAGAACGCACAGTGTCAGAAGATCAATAGTCCGGCCCGCGTTGCAGCACTGACACCGGCCTTGGTCCGGAGACCAGTTTTAAGATGACTTTTTAAAGAGGTCAGGGAGTTGAACTTGTAAGAATTTTAAATCAAGCCGAGGAGACCACAATAATGCATTTTACAACGTTGTCATTAAAGATGAAAACGAAAGAGTCATCTTCAATAGTAACCAAGAAGGTGTTTCATATCGCGAAGGATTCTTTATGAAAGACATCCTTCAATGTTATTTGCCAGTGCCGCACAGTGAGTTGGCCGCAGAGAGAGACATATCTCTGAGAAGTTAATTTGAATGACACTTGCTATGAAAAGGCACATTCCAGTCGATAAAGCTCAATGCAGACCTCTTGTTCGTTGTATCAATTTAGATAAAAAAGAAGTTTCACAACTAAAACACAACTTTGCATAAAATTTCAGATAAATAAATTTATTAGACAAATAAATTACCTGGCCCTTTATTTTCACCGATTTTAAGCTGCTTTTTGAAAATAATCAGACATGCAGCAGCTGCCAACAGTATTGTTATTCAAAAGTTATCTCACAAATCACAATATTCTTCTAATAAGTTTGTTGGAACCGACAGTCCTGGAAACCAATACTCCATAATGGATCTGAATAAATACATCTAATGTTTTCACTGTTTTAGTTTATAAATATAAATATTGAAAGATTGAAGATTATGACAGTTTCAAAACTTATAATGCAGAGTTTAGTATGATTTTATGCAAATGATATATTTAAGATGTCAAAATTATACCTTTGAATGGAGTATTTATCTTAATGAATCATAAAATGCACAATCATAAAATGCTGCTGTTTCATAATCTATTAAGAGCATTATTCTTTACACCAGGGTTTTCCAAATTACTTTTCTCGAGAGCCTTGGTCTCAGGGGATCAGATTTTTAGAGCTTCATGGTTTCAGGACTAGATCAATTATTTATCCACCTTTATTTCACCAGGAAAGTCTCACTGAAACCCAGAACCGTGTTGCTGAAAGGCAAGAACTCCAACCACTCAGCCACCGGGATAGATATTCAATCTGTTTCAACAATACGTTCTGGACAGTGTTCCCCCAAACCCTGTCCGCACTTACGCCCTCTGTGTGCCGTAGCTCCGGTAGTCAATGGCTGCAGAGATGCCCACTACGGCGGCGGGGAAGAGGTAGCCCGACACGTAATAGTATTTTCGTCTGGAGAACTCGCTCTCGAACACTTCCACTAACATGAGGTACAGCTGCACGCCCTCTAAGCACATCCAGGCGAAGGCGGCCAGGAAGCAGAAGTGAAGGAGGCCGGCGATGATGGAGCACACCAGCTGACAGGAAGACATGCGCACAAAGGTAAGAGAGGCTTTCAAATCAAAAGTTTGATGAAAAGAGTACGTGGCGGCATTTTGTGGTACATCAAATGACTCTGTATGGTTTGATATGGAGACAGAGGCGGCGTCTTATGTGTGGGAATGCTTCTAACCTGCCACAGTGAAGAATAATATGAAAGCTAAGACTGCAGCTATGACATAGACTAAAAAGCACAGAATGTTCCCTTCAACAAAATATGTACAAAAAAATCCATTGATGGTATAACCTCTTACTGTTAAACTTCCTGTGCATCGTAATAGATTCTCCCTGATGTAATTTATGGAGCACATGTGACATAAGCAAAGATAATTCTATAACTGTATGTATTAGTGGTAATAGTATAGCAGTCGTTTATTTCTTTGGCCATTATGAACATTAGAGCTTAGGTCACATGTTTTCAAAGATCTTATTCATTTTACCGCAACAGAAAACCCTAAATTGTGTGTATTAAGAATTTCTAGTGCTAAACAATGCCTGAGCAAAAGGGATTTAGGCTAAAGGCTAAACAAGTTTACACTATGGGAATTATTTGCACAAATGTGACATTACGCTGACATCTTCAACTAATGCTTGAAGTGTCAGAAACTTATAATAACAAAGTCCATCCATGTAAACTATTATATGTCTAAAATATGGAACTGCCGAAGGAAGGTTTAGGTTTGGGGCCATGTGCATTGTAGATGACACTTTCCAAACTTTCCATGTTTTGGAGTTTCTTTGCTACAGACAGGGATGCCCCCTTTCCTCCGCCGTGTTTGTACCTTGGGCTCGGTCATGTTGATGCCCACGAGGAAGACGAGCTCGCCGATGAACAGGTTGAGGCAGAGGTTCTTGTGGATGGTGTTGCGGTCACTCTGCAGCCCTCTGAAGAAGCAGAAGGTGAAGAGGCTGATGGCCAGACACACCAGAGACACCGCGATGCCCATCCGCGTGATCACGGTCAGCAGCAGTTCATGGACGCTGCCGTCGGCCTGGAGAAGACGCACAAAAAAACACTGGTGAGAGCGGAACGGCGTTTTATAAACCTGTTGCCATGGAGATTACATTTCAAGGCCCCAGTTTTTCTCTCCTTAAAGATGGAATAAGTGATTTGTGTGCCTTTTCTTGTCATATATGGAAATTGAGGACATGCGTGGATTCATTGAAGCAGAACGTCGTTCAGCAGAGCTGTGGTGGAGCTTAATTATTGATGTTGCATTATATACTGGTACATTTTATATCAGAGACAACATTAGAACATTTCTGCATTTTATTCCAAGGGTATTTATAATATATATATTATGTTTTAGAAAATGAAAACATTTTCTATGTATGAAATTGTGGTCGAGAAAATGCAAAAAGAACATTTAGGTGTTTCAAGGTGAAGTAAAAGTAGAGTGTGCTCTGATGTTCTTAAAGTACAATGCATTCCTGATTATTCACATTTATTTTAATCGTCCATTGCTCAAGCTATTATTATTCTTGCGATTCATCAGTGTGGAAAGGAACCAACTAGAAAATGAATTTACCAAAATGAATTAATATGATGTTAAACGTAGGATTTTTTGGTTTCCTTTGTCATGTTGGTTTAACTAAAAGTTTTTGCAGCACAGTTCAGAAAACAATTATTTAATCTGCTACTTTCTGATAGTCATTCACTTTAGGGGTTTGCTTACAAAATCTTTAGATGAATATAGAAATTATATTATTTACATATTATACAAATGCATCAACAGTGTTGCATTGTTAAAATATGGCGGTCTGATATTCATACCCAAAGATTTGTCAGTTCAAGCAAAACATGACATTAAAATATCTATGGCAAAAATACTAATAATTATAATATTTGATTATTATAATATGTCATTTAAACAATTCATTTAGACAAACGCATAAATGAAATGACTGTAGCCTCTTTACCATCACTATATAAACTTAGACTCGGTCCGACATAAACAATTTTGCTCTCTTCTTTGTCCAATCCATGTCTTTCAATTTAGCACCGCTCCTGCAGCTAACATAAAAACAAAGTGTGATTTTTTGTTGTGCTGCTCGCCTCCTCTACCTTCAAGTACCACTTGTGCTGAAAGCCTGCAGCGCCTTTCCACACCGTAAAGAACAGACGATTTAAGCGCATGAAAAACGACCACAAACATCTGCCACCTTTTGATGTCCTGTCCGCATGTACATTCCCCTTTAATGTCAGGAGTCAAATGCCACCGTTTCTCAAGAGTTCTGAGGTTTTTCGCTTCGTGCCAAGTCTGCCCACCCCCCCTCCGCTCAAGGACAGGGTGGGCTGGAGTGAAAGTAAAGCCTTTTCTATGATATTTGTAATTTTATTGAGACCAGGAGTTGCTTTTGAGGTGATTTTGTCGGCACGGCTTGCCTCCGGGAGTCTGGTGTGGGAGCTTGCGGTGCATAGGTTGAGGTTAAGACAAATGAAACGGGACCTTTAAGTTCACCAGACGCAACGTATTATTAAATGAACCGCGCACTTATCCTGGATGCCTTGCTACACATGCTATTTATCATGTAATTGGATTGTAATTGCGTTTCACGACCAAACGGATCCCCATGCCACTTCAAGGGAGGATGACAAATATGAGTTTAAGCTGGGGTTATGGCGCCCGATTCCCAGGCAAGGACATATGAGCGAGACGAGTATTAGACACGGCCCACAGGTAAAACATAATTACTTTGGGATAATAGTATGGCGTATTCTGCACTGATCCACTATCTTGTTCTTTTAAAGTGACAGCACCTATTTTCACTCCGGCCCTCACCTCCGCCTCCCTCCCCCGTGTGCCGCCAACAACCTAATTATCTTGACTGAAACGCCATTCTGGGAGCGTGTGCGGAAATCTATCAGCGAAAGGGAAGAACCACGGATGGAGTTTGTCAAAGCAGGAGGGCCAGTTACTGCTGAGGAAGCTACCGAGCCACCAAGTGTCATGGGCAAAATGTCTGCACACATGTGCGGCTTATTGTGTTGTTCGAGTTGTCAGGACGGGTGTATATATATATATATATATATATATATATATATATATATATATATATATATATATATATATATATATATATATATATATATATATATATATATATATATATACAGAAGGGATCTCACTCCCAGAGGGAACAATAGCAGACGTTGAGGACAGTTACAAGTATCTCGGTATACCACAGGCAAATGGCAACCTCGAACAGGTGACGAGGAAAGCGGCAACTGCCAAATACCTCCAGCGAGTAAGGCAGGTCCTAAGAAGCCGGCTCAATGGCAAGAACAAGGCCCGGGCAATTAACAGCTACGCCCTGCCAGTGATCAGATACCCTGCAGGAATAATCAGGTGGCCAAAGGAAGAGATTCAGACCACGGATGTTAAAACTCGAAAGCTCCTTACCATGCATGGCGGGTTCCATCCCAAATCCAGCACCCTGAGACTGTACGTAAGCCGTAAAGAAGGAGGCCGAGGACTAGTGAGTGTGAGAGCCACAGTCCAGGACGAAACATCCAAACTCCATAACTACATCATGGAGAAGGCCAAAACGGATGACGTACTCAGTGAATGTCTCAGGCAGTGGCGAGATGAGGAGGTGCTGGAGGAGAGCCCATCATGGGAGAACAAGCCCCTACACGGCATGTACCACCGGAGCATAACAGAAGTGGCTGATCTCAAGAAGTCCTACCAATGGCTAGAAAGGGCTGGCCTACAGGACAGCACAGAGGCACTCATCATGGCTGCACAGGAACAGGCACTGAGCACCAGAGCGATAGAGGCCCAGATATACCACACCAGACAAGACCCAAGGTGTCGGTTGTGCAAAGAGGCACCTGAGACGATCCAACACATAACTGCAGGGTGCAAGATGCTGGCAGGGAAGGCCTACATGGAACGCCATAACCAAGTGGCTGGCATAGTGTACAGAAACATCTGTGGAGAGTATGGGCTGGAAACCCCAAGGTCTAAGTGGGAAACTCCTCCAAAGGTGGTGGAAAATGAGCGTGCGAAGATCCTGTGGGACTTCCAGATACAGACCGACCGAATGGTAATGGCAAACCAACCTGACATCGTGGTGGTGGACAAAGGGCAGAGGACAGCCGTGGTGGTGGACGTGGCAATTCCAAGCGATGGTAACATCCGGAAAAAAGAACATGAAAAGCTTGAGAAATACCAAGGTCTCAGAGAGGAGCTGGAGAGGGCCTGGAGGGTAAAGGTGACAGTAGTGCCCGTGGTGATCGGTGCACTCGGGGCAGTGACCCCGAAGCTAGATGAGTGGTTACAGCGGATCCCCGGAACAAACCTCGGACATCTCGGTCCAGAAATGTGCAGTGCTAGGAACAGCAAAGATACTGCGCAGAACCCTCAAGCTCCCTGGCCTCTGGTAGAGGACCCGAGCTTAGAGAGGGATAACCGCCCGCGGAGGGCCAAAGGTGAGTGGACAATTTTTATATATATATATATATATATATATATAACGAAAGCAAAACAAATGCTTATCTCCCCATAACAAGTGATAATGTACTTTTTCTCACCACTATCTATATACAGTAGTAATGGAATTATCTGGTCTTAACACTCAAAACATGGCTTGGTGAGAGTAGAAGCTTTGAAAGATCTGTGGTGATTTATTGGACATTTTATTCATTCATTACTGCAAAAAAATGATAAATTATGGAAATAATAATTGCTTGAATTGTGTGTTTTTTCTCTTAACTTGAGTATATTCTGAGTACATTCTGACTGCCTTAATACAAGATTTGCCAATGGGACAAAACCATTTAGTCTTAATTCAAGAACTGTGGCTTTATTTCCCCATTCCAAGGGATATATGTTTTGTATCTTTTTGAAATAAGATCATTTTGCTTGTCTCATTGGCAATAAATAAATGAAAATAAATAATGTTTTATTTCGGTTATGATCTTAAAACGCATAACCAAGTACCAGTCCATAAAATTACACTACGGCATGGATAATTTAGTCTTATGATTTAAATAAGGACATTTATGTTGCTTTCTTTGCCCTAAGCAAAGTGGGTTTCTAATAGCTGTGCTGGCGTCACCCAATGGCGTTTGGCTTAACCCGATTAGAGCCAACGCAAGAATGTTGGAGCCAAGTTCTATCAGAGCAAAGACATAGCAACCGATGAGCCAATCAGGAGCGAGGCTGGTGTGCCATTTGCCAACCAAAGCTGAATTCTTAGATAATTCTTGGATAATTTAGGTCAGTTGTTATGCGTCATAGCTGGATTTACTTAGACAATATCAAAATAAAAATAGCATAACATTAAAGAAACAAATGTAGTGTGGTGCAAATGTTTACAGGGAAAGGCAAATTTGATTTTTAACAAAAGTGAATGGAAGCCAAAGCAAGTGTGAGCTAATGGGTTAGAACCATAGACTGTATATGAATGAACAATGCTGACTCAATAAAGCCCAAGAGGGAAGTGCTCATAGACAAAGGTTTGCTTTGGTTCCAATTGACTTCCATTGAAAGCCATTTGTGCCACACTTCATTTTGGACAAATGTGCGGTTTAGTGCTCACTATGATCCTGGTGTTCAATATTTTCTTTGTAAATCCAGATATGAGCCATAAGGATAGAACTATCAGAGGGGTAGGTAAAACAACAGCTTGCCTTAGCAACACGTGACATTTGCCCCTGCTACGGTGTCAATGTCAGCTTTATTTGTATTGCACATTTACAACAACACCAGCCGCCCAAAGTGTTTCAGAGGCACAAAAGACACATCAACAAAAGCAAACAGCATAAAATACACACACATACATATAAAAGGTAAAACTCAGTTGGTGTTAAAAGCCAAGGTGTAAAAATGTGTCTTGCCCCCCCCTCAAGTAAGGAACGCACATATAAGGAATGTGGCTCTAAACTTGCTAGCTTCTAGGGTTAGAATTGTTCAACTTACACTGCTTCTATGCTATACTACAACTATAAGTCTATAAAAAGACAGACATATTGGTTACTAGTCATTTCACTGTTATTGGCCGTGTTGTTAACATTGACAAATATCTATCCATCCATTTATCTGTCTCCAAAGTAAAGAAAATTAGAATACATATATTTTATAGACACTTCTGGACTCACCACGTTCCCTCTGTGAGCCATGAGGATTGCAAAGTTGGTGAGGTGGTTGCAGGAGCAGGTGGTGTGGCTCTTGTTGGTGTCCAGGAGCTTGCATCCCTGCGTGGACCAGTATCCCATCATGCTCCGCTCCGAGTAGTTCCAGAAGGAGCAGTTGGGGTTGTAATAGTGGTCCTTCTACAAAGCAGAGAAAAACGTAGAGAAAAATACATTAGAATCAAATATGCATGACCGTACACAGAGGCACACATTTTATAATTTATGCGAGAACACCAGGTCTATTTATGTTCTTTAACACCATTTGTCTTTACTGATCAGATGCATGCATATGGAATAGTTTTGGAAATGTGATGAAAGAGATGCAGTTGCCAGGAAAATGTGAGGCTTAATCTGACAAAGCACCTTGGGGAAGCACTTCTCTTGCTGCACCTTAAAGGCACTTTGTGTTTTGACATTCTTTCATTAATTACTGTCAGTGGAGTAGAATAGCATTGCTTAATAAACACCGCCGCCCTTTGTTCTAATCTAGAGGGAAAATAGTCTATCATAATCATACACGGACGATTTCATTTGCAAAACTAAAATACTGTAGTATGTGCTGCTTCCAAATGGGGATCAGTTTGTGTGAGATTATAGAGGTGGAGACGGGCAGAAATTTCAAAGCCATAATTTGTAATGGTACATGCAACTATGATACTATGCATTCACTGCAAAAATTATAAAATACGGGGTAATAATTGCTTGAATCAAGTGCTTTTTTATCTTAATTTGAGTATGGACTGTCATTAAACAAGATTTGCCTATGGGACAAGGAAAAAGTCTCATTTGCGCCATTGGCGAATATTGTTTTAAGGCAGTCAAAATGTCACCAAATTAAGATTCATTTTGCCAAATTTGAGCAATTTTTTACTTATTTTTCACAACTTTTTGCAGTTTACTGGAAATAGAAATGAATTGTTGTATAGTCTAATCAAAAAGTGCCAGTTGTTCTATTTTAGATGATTGTGTATAAAGAATCAAGGCCCAAAAACACAGATATCAAATACATTTTCCAGAACGCTGCTTTTACCATTCTTTTGGAAGTCTCCTTATTTCACTCCTCAACATTCCTTAATTCAGTCATAATATGAGCCGTGAAAAAAATATCTCTGTAGTTTCCTGAGCCAAAGTTTAGACACCTCTATAAAACATGCTCTAGAATCTTCCCAATAGTTTTTTCATTCACATTTCCGACTCTTTCTCCTTTTTGCTTTTGCAGCAGTGGAGTGAAGGTTGCCCTGACATTTCCATGCGTGTGTACATTACTCGGAGTGCAGGGAGCAGTGGCAGCGGGGAGGGAGCTGTCTCAGGGGAGGGGGGAGGCTTACATCCAGGTGCTCCAGCGTAAAGATCACTGGGTCGGCCGTGAACACTCGGCTGGACTCCTTGGTGATGGAGGCGGACAGGATGTGGGAGTTGACGGTGAGGGAGAGGTTTCGCCGGCTCGGGTCGCCGGGGCCTCGGAGTGTGGCGTTCTCGGTGCTCAGGAACTGGCCCAGGTGTTTGTAGAGCACGAAGACCAGCTTAGCAACACCTGCGACAAGCAATAACAGATTCATCATGGTGGCCAGAGGGAGGAGGGGGGAGGGGGGCACTGAGGAAATGCTAATATGGCAGGTGGAACTTAGAATATATGAGATTATACCATGCAGTTTTGCTCATGATTTTACATAACTTGGCAAAATTTAGGATTTCTTGGTCATTTTTCCAGATAATATGATGGATAAGATGTGAATAAAATAAGGTAAGATGTATTTTATTGTCCCAGGTGGGGAAATTTGTCCTCTGTTTTTGACCCATCCTGTAATATGACTCGGGCGCCTTGTCAGGAGCAGCACAGCGCCTGGGGACCCATTTCCAGTTTGGTACCATTTTAGTTATTTTGAGAGTGTTTGCACATAATGGGAAGTAGAGAATGGAGCACTTGGGGACTGGTTTAGCTCCTGCGATGGGACAGATTCTTTGCAGCCAGACCAACAATTGGTTTCTATCTTAGATTTATGAGATGCCAGTATTGCACAGTAGTGTAAACCAGCAGATAAAACTGCAAGATGCATTAAACAATTGAGTTGTATTTATTACTTGTTTCAGTCCATATTTAAAGAAGACACCACACTCTCAATTTGAAGATGTGAATTATTTGTAAGACATTTCAGCCACTATGTGTACATGAAAAATTGTGTGTGAATCCATAACGTTTGCAGAGTAGAATGTAAGTTTTCCATCGCAAACCAGTTTAAGAACAAAAATGTTCCAGACAGCTGAGGTTATACTAAGTTAGAACCACTTTCAGAAAACACTGAAAGGTTCCTCGGACAAAAGAGGAACTGGGGGAACATTTAGACTAGTTCTTGGTAGTGGCATGTGCGAAACATGCGTGAAAATCTCATAGGCCGTTTTCCTTTTAGTAAAAACATTTGTGCAGTCAAAGTGGTACTCTGGCATTCATATTTCATTGAATGTTACATCATCATTATCATCTCATTTGTATGCAGATAAAAATGTGTTCGCAAAGACTTAGGGTTAACATAAATTAAATTAGAAATCTGTTAAAAAACACTTAATTGCATCACTCAATGTGCATAAAATTCAATCAAACTTCTGAACATGTACAACATCCCTTCAGCGCTTCTCTAAGTGCAAAATCAGGCTTTTCTGTAGCATCAGGGTCCCTTGTTATCCAATTAGCGTGATATACTGTCCGATATTAAATGGACCCCAAACAGACGGAGCTTTTACATCATTAGCGTCAATAACAACTCCTAAAACTGCAGAAGTGATTTATCACTGCTTTAAATGGTTTAAAAGGTAAATCATCTCACCGTTCTTGCTGTTTGCTTTGACTGTATTGGAGGAGAGCTGCAGGAAGCTCCCGCCTTTACTGCTCTGGGGGAACCTGAAGTCCTGCACCTGTCCGTCTGTGCTGATCACGTACACGTCCAGCACTGAGGAGAGAGACACGGACAGAAAGATATGCTCACAATGTTGTATTGTTGTAATGTTGTAATTATCATGCATCATGTGTGTGGCCCTGAAACATGACATTTAGAATATTTACTTTGGCATTACATGAAAAAATAGCTAGAAATGGTTGGTTGAAGTAAAAAAACAAAACAAAAAACACTTCTGTACATAAAAACATTCTTCTTCTTTAACATATCTTTATTACGAGGAATAGCCTCTTGAGATGCATCATCTCGTTTTCAGGAGGGTCCTCAAAAATAGCAACACAAGTAGCAGCAGCGGTTGTCAAATAAATGCAGTTACAGTAAAGTGTAACAAATAAAAAACATAACAAATTACAGTAAATAAATTCAATAAAATAACAGACAAAAAAAAACTAACAAAACAATACAAGGACAGAAACATTCGCTCACACACACACACAGAGCTCTCAGAGGTCAGAGGTCACCCTACTCCTCAAACTAGGACAGTGAAAACCAAAGGATATAATATTTAAAAGAAAGTTCAGTAGCAGTTACAAACATTACACAGATGCCTTTGTACAGCAACTTTAAAAAGAGAAATAGAAGTTAAAGAGCGAATAGAGGCCGGAAGGTGATTCCAGTCGTTTGGGGCTTTATATTGGAAAGCATATTTGCCAAGTTCTTTCTTCACACGAGGAGTGTGAAAGAAAAGCTGGTTTGTGTGACGAAGATTATAAGAGGAATTAAAAGGGGTTAAATATTGCTTTAAATAAAGAGGGTAATCCAAAAAATAACATTTATAAATGAAAAACAACCAGAGAGAGTGACGCCTTTGGGATAGAGAGAGCCAGGACAGCTGCTGGTACATGTCACAGTGATGTGTCCTGTAGGGGCAGCGCAGAATGAACCTGCACAGGCTGTTGTAGGCAGTGCTCAGAGGATGGAGAGAAGTGGAGGTGGTATTTTGGTAAACTATGTCTGCATAGTCTAATATGGGAAGTAGTAGTTGTGAAATAATCCTTTTCCGTGCAGATAAATTAAAACAGTCAATGGATTGATAAAGTGTTTTCAGTGAATAGTTAATTTTGTGTACAGTTTTGTGAATATGGGTATTGAAAGAAAGATTTGAGTCTAGCCAAAGACCAAGATACTTAAGGTTGTCCACACATTTGACTGGGGACAGATCTACAGGACTAACCTCGGTGAAAGAGAATGAACTGTTGCACGGCTGGCGATCCGGAACAACTTGATGAAAGGGGGGATGGACCTGTGGCGTTTGTGAAAATTGCAAGCTGAAGGCATTGGCTATAGTGGAAGGGTCATTGGAGACCTCATTGTTAATGATCATATTGTTCGTGGTCGTACTGGATTTCCCAAGCACGATATTCATTTGTTTCCAGAACCGTTTTGGATTTTTAAAATTGTTGGTCAAACTGTTTCTATAGTAGTTAGCCCTGGAGTTTCTAGTTTTGGTGGTACAAACATTTCTCAACTGTCTGTACTTTTCCCAGTCAGCAGGAAGTTTAGTATGGTGGAATGTACTCCATGCCCTGTCTCTCAGTTTGAACAGATTAATTAGCTCCCCATCAATCCAAGGTAGATGTGATCCTTTCACTCTGATTATGGTCCACGGAGCATGTTTATCAACAACTCTCACAAGTTCGGAGTAGAAAAAGTTCCAGGCATCATCTATGTTTGGGATCAAGTCAAGTCTATTCCAGTTGATTAATTGTAAGTCAGAAATAAAACTATCTGTATTAAATGTTTTGAACTGTCGTATCTTAATCAATTTTGGAGGAAGTAGAGGTTTTGAAATTTTCCATTTACAGTAAATCATACAGTGATCGCTAAAACAGTCTGGAAGAATTCCAGACTCTTTTATTCTATTGGGGTGAGAGACAAGAGCCCAATCCAACAGGGATTTAGAAGTAGGAGTAACTCTAGTAGGTTCAGTAATAAGTTGTGTCAAATTTATGCCATTAAACAAGTTCTGTTCACCAAATGTGGAAGAGTCAAGCCAGTTAATATTAAAATCACCCATAAGGACCAGCTCACAATTACTCATCAGGGAGGATACAGTAGACAGAATATTATTAACAGATTCAGATTTGGGAGAATTTGGAGGTCTATATATATTTCCCACAATCATATGTTTGTTATCATGGAGAAAAATCTTGATAAATAGAGCTTCGAAGTGCACAGGAGAGTCAACAGAAACAAGTTGTGATCTAAATCCAACATAACACAATTTGATTGAAGAAGTTCACAAAAGAGAAAAAAAAAGGCTATTCAAAACACCATTGTCAGAAGATTCACCATAGGGGAACACATTTTCAAACGAGCATTTGGATTTATGGAATGGGGTGACGTGTTAAGGTCGAACAAAACATCTCCAGGTATATATTTTTTGTCCAGGGAAAAATGCCGTAACACCGACTCCACACACCATTATCACTCACACAAATTCCTACATGCAACCATTACTGGTATGTTTTTGTCCTCATTGATACGAGGCTTACGAGGCATACAGGCTTTGTTGACAAATTGTGAGAAATGTGAGGCATTGAGTTATCGAGAGACACATATATACAGTAGATAGTGGGTCTCAGTCTCCAACCTATGCCCTAACAAAGGCTCAGTGGTCAGTAGCATTATGTGATGTAATAAACCAGTCCAGAGTATTTTGATTCAATGGTCCATCATTGGAAGTTTGTCTCAATAAAACTGCACACTACAAAAGTTAACTTCCATGTCTTCTTTAAAATGAAAATGTAATCGTACCCCTGCAGCTTTTCAAACTTGTCTAAATCAACTCTCATCGAGCATTCCACTAATAATAATAATGCAACCTCCATAAGTGAAAAGAACTTCAGCTAACATCAACTTTTGCTAGCTTTGCTATGTCATTGTATTTGAAAAATCCAATAAAACTGGCTGCCAACAAACTAAAGGCATTAATTGATTGCCTGTCCTGTGTGTAAATGAGTGAGATGCAATACTTGGAATGAGAAAAGCAGTTTCATCATTATGCCGGTCCCTGTTGAGTCAAAAAAATACATTACACCAGTAACAAAATCCAACACCCTGTAGAGCCATCGTTTGCAAAGCATCCAAATAAGCCGCTGCTGGGTCTGGCATCGCAAACGCCTCGGAGGCAGTGACACGAGAGGAACAGAGAGAGGAAGAAAAAAAAAAAATCAACAAGGACAAGATGGGAGAAAGGCGAGTACGGAGAAGAGACGAAGGAGCGGTGCGTGCGGCCTATTGCGGCATGAATGTCAAATATTCATGGGATCAAAAATATCATTGAGCTTTTTACTTGGCGCTTCTCCCCGTAGGTTTGAGATAAGTGGGCCTAGACGGAGCAAATCTCTCAAAAATCCTTCCAAATTCCAGCAGCCCCTGTCCTCCGGGCCTGCCAGCTGCCGGGTGGTGCTCCCTTTGATGTGCAATATTACCGAGAGGTCAGGGGAACATATCATTCTCCCCGCACATACATTCAAAACGACCCTACCGCCTCGCAAATATGCCTTCTGACAGTTTGGAAATGAGGAAGTGGTCTAGACGGCGATGAAAGGTAAAGAATGAGTACATGGTGGCTTTGTTTTAGTACAACAGTTCATTCATGTTTCAGAGGCTCGCGATATGTGGCCCGGCAGTTAGCTGTACAGTACGTAGTAGAACAATTATAGTTATTCTCACCAGTGTTTCTAAAACGGAAAATTTTGCACCTGAGAGACTAGTTAGTATGGCCAACGTTGCCAAGACGATAAACACATTATTTTTTTGACTATTTTGTATCCTATGATATATTTAATGAATAATAATCAGTCAGCATTTTTTAACTAATCTTTTTCAACAAAAATAATGTCCTAACTCGTATGAAGCTAATCATCATAACAACAGCCACACATGCAGATGAAGTAAACACAAATTAAAATTCTGTGCTGTTCCTATTTTCCTCTCGCACTCTTCTGAAAAAGTTAATATAAACATTGTGCATACTGTATATTCTGAAATACGTTTAGAGGATTTGGGTATGTGTGAGTACTTTGCATGTGCGTCAGCTCCTGGATTGAATACCCTGCAAAAAGGTAATAATTGATTGACATTCTGACTGTCTTAAAACAAGATTTGCCAATGGGACAAAGCCATTTAGTCTTATTTCAAGAACTGTTGCTTTATTTTCTCATTCCAATGGAGACCTTTCTTGTATCTTTTTCAATTCAATTAAACTTTATTAAATTGGGGTCAAATTTAAAACATACAACAACAAAAACCAAACAAACAGCCATTCCAGTATCTCCACATCTTGGCCTGAACTCAAGTGGCAATGAACCTCGTCAGCGCTAGCCTGGTCGTACCACACCATAGTACAAATTACATTTCGTACTAAGGTCTGGAGGTGCTCCATTGAGCTCTGTTTACAGATAGGAGGGGTTAACTCCTTTTACAGATTGAAACCATTGGATCGGAGTTTACCGTGACGTTTGTAATGTGCCCAAGTGAGTCGTTAGCATTTAGCATTTAGCCTAGTCATCTTCGCCGCTAACGGAGCCCGTGGGGAGTAGCGCCACAATTATTTCAAGCGATTACATTTGCTAAATGTACGGGCGGCACGGTGGCTGAGTTGATAGCACTCTCGCCTCTCAGCAAGAAGGTCCTGGGTTCGAATCCCGGTTGGACCAGGGCCTTTCTGAGTGGAGTTTGCATGTTCTCCCCGTGTCTGCGTAGGTTTCCTCCGGGTGCTCCGGTTTCCCCTACCACTAAAAATATGTACAATAGGTCTGGCATGTGCCTCCTGTACTGGCCCCGCTCCCAAAAATAACAATTGTAAACCGCTTTGAGACTCCAATGTGCAGTGAAAAGGCGGTATGTAAAAATAAAGATTACTTACTACTTACTACTAAACATTCCTATTGCTCCGGCTTCAATTTCTTGATAGAACCAGACCGGATTACTTTACTATCACATTTTTCGCCATTACCAAACTACAACCTTCCCGTTTGACGCAAACT